TTTATCATGGTTGAAATATCTCACTTTCCTTTGAGAATATCAGTGATCATTTAAAATTTCTCCCTGCCTCATATCTGCTTCCTCTTTGTTCATTTGTTTCTGCTTGTTTTTGCCTCTGTCTTTCTATTAGAGACTTTCCTGAGAGTATCATAATCCCCGCTTGTTTGCTCATATTTAAGTTTGGAGCCTAGCAAACTGATCAGAAGCTCTGAGTGGTGGTTCCAACTGAACTCTGGGACTGGTTCCAACTGAGCTGGACCTTATAGTTGGGTAATCCCTAATGCCAGTATCTTTAGGTCTTCCTTCATGGCGTGGTCATATGTATCAGAGAAGATGCCACTATTCCGCCTGGAATATGAAGGTCTAGTGACCAGCATGATGCCATGTTTTCCCTGAAGCGTGTGTGTGTGTGCGTGTGTGTGTGTGTGTGTGTGTGTTTATAGAAACATGTATCCTTACCCAGTGCCTCACACTTAAAAGAGTCTTTTTTTTTTTTAGACGGGAGTCTTGCTCCGTTACCCAGGCTGGAGTACAGTGGCATGATCTCGGCTCACTACAACCTCTGTCTCCGGGGTTCAAGTGGTTCTCCTGCCTTAACCTCCCAAGTAGCTGGGACTACAGGCGTGTGCCACTATGCCTGGCTAATTTTTGTAGTTTTTAGTAGAGACAGGGTTTCACTGTGTTGGCCAGGCTGGTCTAAAATTCCCTACCTCAAGTGATCCACTCACCTTGGCCTCCCAAAGTGCTGGGATTACAGGTGTGAGCCACCACACCTGGCCAAAAGAGTCTTAATCAGTGCATGTTGAATGATGAAATGAGGGTGCTATTGTCCTTATTTTGTACTTGAGGAAACTGCCTCTGAGGTTCAGGATCTTGTCTAATATTTCCAACACCAGTCTTTCTCATTCCAGTGCCCATGCTCTTTCCCACATAGGAAAAATGTAGCTTTTCAGGCTTGTCTGAGCCTCATGTTAGAGGAATATTGTGACTGAAATACCAGGATTTGTTTAACAAGTATGGCCCATATTTTGGGTCTTAGCTTGCCAGTAGGGGTAAACTAAGCAAGTTGATTGGCCTTATCTGTGGTAATGTAGTACTTAGTAGGAGTTTAAAATTTAAAAAAAAAAGCCGTCCAGGCACAGTGGCTCACACATGTAATCCCAGCACTCTGGGAGGCCGAGGCGGGTGGATCACAAGGTCAGGAGTTCGAGACCAGCCTGACCAATATGGTGAAACCCCATCTCTACTAAAAATACAAAAATTAGCCGGGCGTGGTGGCACATGCCTGTAATCGCAGCTACTCAGGAGACTGAGGCAGGAGAATCGCTTAAACTTGGGAGTCAGTGAGCCAAGATTGCACCCCTGCACTCCAGCCTAGACGACAGAGCGAGACTCCATCTCAAAAAATAAAACACCCTCAGTCATTTTGGGCAATACTACTTTTTCTTTTTTCCCCTGGAAGAAGAAAATCCTTTTGCACATTGAAGTATTTATGGCAGAGCTAGCTGGATGCCTGCCTGTGAAAATGACTTACAGATTTGTCAAAACAGGAGTATTTATCTAAACAGCCTCATCCTAAAGTATTTGACTGATGTCTACAGCAATCAGTTTCTTAAGACATTCACAACAGGATTCAGTGATGTAAGAGCTCTTCTGCCAGTCAGCCTCACTCTCATTTCATTTCTTTCTTGCTGCTTTGAAAGACCTTCTTTTTGTTTTTGGTGTCCTGCAGTTATATGGTGATATATCTAGGTTTGGCTTCATCTGTTGGAATCTGTTGGACTTCTTGAGGTGGTAGGTTGGAGTTTTTTGTTACTGCTGGGAAATTCTCATTTTCTCTTCACATATTGATGGTATCTAAGCCTCTCTCTCCTCACCTTCTGGAGCTCCGATTAAATATGTGTAGTAGACATTCACACTGTGTCTTCCACATTTCTTAACCTCTCTTCTGTCTGTATTTTCCATCATTTTGTTTCTTTGGTTGAGCTTTGTATAGTTGCTTCTGATCTAGCTCTTAGTTCAAAATTCTCTCTTCAGCTGTGTGTAACTTGCTCTCAGACCCATCTATTGAGTTTTTTTGTTGGTTATGGTATTTTTCATGTCTAGAAATTATATGTTATTCTTTTTTAAGTATTCCATTGCTGTTTTTTATTTTATATTATTTTATTTTATTTTTTGAGACGGAGTCTCGATCTGATGCCCAGGCTGGAGTGCAGTGGCACGATCTTGGCTCACTGCAACTTCCACCTCCCGGGTTCAAGCGAGTCTCCTGCCTCAGCCTCCTGGGTAACTAGGACTACAGGTGGGGGCCACCAAGCCTGGCTAATGTTTGGTGTTTTTAGTAGAGACGGGGTTTCACCATGTTAGCCAGGATGGTCTCTATTTCCTGACCTTGTGATCCGCCTGCCGTGGCCTCCCAAGTACTGGGATTACAGGCATGAGCCACTGCGCCCAGCCGCTCCATTGCCCTTTTTATAGTTTCTTATTTTCAAGTGTATTTCTTATTTCTTCAAACTTAATAAGCATACTTACTATTTGTTATCTATATTATATTTTCTATAATCATACATGAAATCAGAATTTCTTCTTTTTTCTTTTCTTTTTCTAATTGAGACAGAGTTTCACTCTTGTTGCCCAGGCTGGAGTACAGTGTCGTGATCTCGGCTCACTACAACCTCCGCCTCCCAGGTTCAAGCAGGTCTCCTGTCTCAGCCTCCCAAGTAGCTAGGATTACAGGCATGTGCCACCACGCCTGGCTAATTTTGTGTTTTTAGTAGAGACGGGGTTTCTCCATGTTGGTCAGGGTGGCCTCAAACTCCCAACCTCAGGTGATCCACCCGCCTCTGCCTCCCAAAGTTCTGGGATTACAGGCGTGAGCCACCGCACCCAGCTGAAATCGGATTTTCTATGTGAAATCCGATTTTGCTGTTTGAGATACCCTTTGCTGTTTTTGCGCCCCTGTATGCTTGATTATTTTTGACTATGTTTCTTATTATCCTTAAAAATTACTTGTATGAAGTTCATAGAGCCCTAGGATGAGGATACCTTTATGCTGAGAGGGTCTGCATTGGTTTATGCCAGACACCCGGAGGCACTAATAGTTTGGGATCACCTAGATGATAGAAATTTGGGCTGCAACTATGCATGAGGGCTGGCTTACGCTGACAGCCCTCAGGAACTAATTTTTGTTTTCTTTTGTTTTCTGCTCAGCATCAAGAAAAAATTTTTTGCAGTCCCATGTGGAGTGATCGTGGAGGGGAGAGGAAGTGTCGAGTTTGGTTTTCGTTAATCCTTATACTGACAGTATAGCCCTTTAGGATTCCAGGTTAAAGGGTGTAACCTTTTACGATTCCAATTTAAAGGCTGTAGCCTTTAGGATTCCAGTTTAATGCAGGGCGAGTTTTCTGTTAGATTCTCATCTTGGACAGATGCTGAGCTGTGGTATTTGTCCCCTTTTCCAGATGAGATCTTCAAAACCCAAATTGAAGTTGCTAGATTGATTCAGGGCAAGAGTTCTGGAATCTGTGTGTCCTCTCAGTCTCCTCTACAGGTTTTTCTGTATCTCTCTGCCTTTAATTAGTGAAGCGTCCTAGAGTTCAGTCCTTGTTCTTTTCTACCTACAGCTGACTTCTTGATGTTCTTAGCTGATTTTATGGCTTTGCTGTTTCTGCATTGACAACTTCCAGGCCAGACCTCTCTCTCAAACTCAATTTGAATATTATCTGCCTACTCCACATCTTTAGTTGTAATTTAGTTGGTAGAGTTGGCAAACTGAACATGCCCAAGACGGAATTCCTAGGCTCCTCCATATACAGCTTTCCCCATTTTAGTTCATGGCTACTATACTATTGTTGTTGCCCCAGCCAGAATCCTTGATTTCATACTTGACTCCTCCTCTTCTGACATCCAAGATCGATTTCAGGAAATCTTGTTGACTCTAATATGTATATCCAAGATCCTGTTACCTCCTCTGCCTCATCCTGGCTCATGCCGCCATCATCATTCACCTGAATTATTGCAGTAGCCTTCCAACGAGCCTTCCTCCTTCCTCGCTCTCCTGTAAGTGTGCCTATAAGACAGATATGCCACCTTTCTACTCAAAATCACCAATGGCCTGTCATCTCACTCACAAGAAAGGCTTTATTTTTTCTGCTCACACATACCCTTCCCTCCCCAGCCTTCCAAAAACATCTCTGATCTTCTCTCTTCCCAGGCCCCTGATTGCTGAGTTCTTCTCAACCACACTGACCCCCTTGCTGTTCTTGAAACATATCAGGCAGTCATCTGCCCTAGATCTGTACATTCTTTTCCCTCTGCCTTGAATCCTCTTCCAAAGATACCTACATTATTCTTTAGGTGTTTGAGCAAATAACACCTTTTATAAGGTCTTCCCTAATTGTCCTACTTAAAATTAGATGCCTCCCCAGTACTCCTTATCCACCTTTCTTACTTTATTTTTCTTAATAATCGTAACAGTTAACTTCTCCATAGTGACTAGTAGCATGCACTATTCTAAGCACTTTATGTGTATACATTTAATTCCTGCACAATA